TAATCCTGAAACTTAAGGACTGAAAAATACTTTATTTAATATTTATACAAAAATCAAGAGATGGAACTAAGTAACATAGACATTTTGTGTGAAATAGAAAAGCTTTGAATGATTCGATGAACCTCCGCTGAACAATATTCTGAATCTATGTCGGTATTTAAGATGACAGTAATGGTTTGAAATCACAAATAAACATCCTTTCAGAAGATGTCACCATTCCACAATGGTGCGGACACTGGCTAACGTTCATGGGGCACTTACTACCTATTCTACTGGACAGCCCTATGCACGGCGCTCATCTCACTCACTGTACCTCTTTTGATTGCAGAAGGGAGCACTTTGGGATTTTCCCCCAGAAGTCGTCATCGGGAACAAGCTTGTCATCCATCAGACGGTAAGTGCAGTTTGTTTCTATTATGGCTGTTTCATACAGCTCATCTTCTTTCGGGTCTCCAGCAGCTTTGGGATATGAATGGTAAGAGGGCATTAAATTATACGCTGGAAAGTGGCTGCTTCGGAAGGATGAAGTGGGGTAGGACAAAGAACATTCAAGCTTCTCATCCTCTGAAATACAGTAAACTTACACTGATAACTGGTTTGGCCACCCAGAAGCTTCCAGAAGTCTTTGGCTGCATGAGTATGTGTATTAATCCCTTCTTCGATAGTTTGGATGTAAGTAGCTCTACAACCCAGTTCCCTCTTTGTCTGGATTAAAGTTGCAAGTTCTGAGGCCTGAGAAAAGGGAGGAACACGATTGTGTGAGCAGACAAGCCTATGGCCAGGTGGGGTGGCACACGCTGAAATCAGAGACCAGAAATCGTGTGTGTCTGAAAGGAAAACCTTGTGACCACAAGGCGACCGAGGCACTGGTTGTTGGGCATTTTCAACGAAGTCAAGAAAATATAACTAAGGACCAGGAGTATCAATTCTTTGGAGCAGTAGTTCTCAGTCTTCGAATTCGGCAGATCACTTGGAAAGCTTAAAAAAAATACCCGTTCTCCGGGCTTTTCCTCATGAGATTCTCATTCATTAAGTCTGTAGCAGAATTTCACAGGTATCTGGGATAAATGGCTGTGAAGCCACATGCCAGTTTCTTTTTTACACAAGAGTGAGAACAAATCCAGGACTTAAATCTGGAGGAAGAGGTCATAATTCTTCTAAAACATTCCACTTAAGCACCTAATAAAAGACTGTTTGAGAGACATTCAGGAAAATAACCGCTATCTACCCCTTCTCGCGCGAATGAAACACTGCACATTGAGAAGCTTTGTAACCATCCAGCGACTAGGAGAACATTCGATTGGTGTATAAATGAGATGCTTAACTAAACTATTGTTATATTTCAGGTACCAACCTTCGCCTTTTCTATGACATTTGCAAACTCTCCTACCCACAGGAAACAGTAATGGGGAGAGAGCAGGAGGAAGCAGTCCCCGCTGTTGAGTGATGAAGCTCGAGGCTCAACCAGTCTCGTCTGCACGTGTCTTCTTCCTAAACAGGAGACAAAGAGTCACCATCTCCCCAGAAAGGCCCAGGAAGCACCCCCATCTGAAGCATCCCTTTCAGTTCTCAAGAGTCTCGCCTACTAATCCCAGTTCCCATGACCAGAGCGGCAGAGGAGGTTTTCGAATGACAGCATCACGCATTACTTTTACTTTAGTGCTTTCCCAAATGTCGCCATGCTTTAGGACCACTATCAGCGCACGTGTATGGAGTAGCTGATTTCCCCTCCTTTCCACTCTCCTAGCCTTCCCTCCACTCAGCCCGCCCCGACATTTATGACAGCTCGCCATAGGCAAGGGCGCACCTTCGTACGGCATCTGCTTCCACATGAGTTTCCACTCTAACCCACAGGAGAGGGGAATCAGCCTAGAGGCCAGCCTTGTGTTGCCATCAACACCCCCTAAATGACTGTTGATTTAAACCTTTCCACAATCACACCGATAGTCTAGTGTCTGGGTTAGAACCAGGAATAGAGGTTGGTTATTCATGCTGGTCACCAGTCTTTTAAGTACACTCAGGACAGTGGTTATGCAGAAACACACTGGAAACCCTCGCAGATGGAGAGGCTACTTCCTCCATCCTTCTCCTGG